AATGGAACAGAATTGAGAATCCAGAAATTAACCCATATACATACAGCCAACTGATTTTTGACAAAACACCTAAATATATCGCAATGGGAGGTGATAGTCTCTTCAACAGATGGTGCTGGCAGAACTGGAAAGTGATATGAAAAAGATTGAAACAAGACCTTCACCTCACACCTTATACAAAAACCAACTCAACATGGGTTAAAGACCTACATGTGAATCCCAGAATTATGAAGGTCGTCAATGAAAAAATAGGGACAAATATGAGGACACTAACTCAGGGAATACACAGACTATCAAACATTTTGAAAACTACACAAACAAAAGTAGACAAAACAGATGGTGAGACATACTAAAAATTAAAAACTTATGTGCATCAAAAGACTTCATCAAAAGAGTAAGAAGGGAACCCACAGAATGGTAAAAAATCTTTTGCAATGACACATCAGACAAGGGAGTCATTTCTAAAATATATAGGAAACTACAACACCTCTACAAGAAAAAGACAAATAACCCAATTAAAAAATGGGCACAGGACATGAACAGACACTTCACCAATGAGACAATCCAGGCAGCCAACAAACATATGAAGAACTATTCATAACCACTAGCCATTGTTGTTGTTGTTGTTAGGTGCCATCGAGTCGGTACCAATCCATAGTGACCTTATGCTCAGCATAACGAAACACTGCCTGATCCTCGCCCAACCTCACTACTGTTGCCACGCTTGAGTCCATCAATGCTGTCACTTGGCCAATCCATCTCATTGGGGGTCACTAGCCATTAGAGAGATGCAAATCAAAACAACAATGAGATATCATCTCACACTAGCAAAAACAGCACAGATCAAAAAAGTAGAGGACAATAAATGCTGGTGGGGATATGGAGAGACTGGGATGACTCTGCATTGCTGGTGGGATTGCAAAACGGTCCTACCTCTCTGCAAAGCAATATGGTGCTTCCTCAGAAGGTTGGAAATAGAAATACCTTATGATCCAGCAATTCCTCTACTTGGTATTTACCCACAAGAAATATAAGCCGTAACATCAATGTTCATAGCAACGCTATTTAAAATAGCAAAAAGATGGAGACCGTGTAAGTGCCCATCATCTGAAGAATGGATAAACAAACAGTGGTACATACACACAATGGAATATTATGCTACCTTGAAGAATAACAATGAAGCTGCAAGCCACCACATAACATGGATCAATCTTGAATGAAATTAGTCACAAAAGGAGAAATACTGCATAGGACCACTACTGTAAAGACTAAGATAAGAACCCATACCAAAGAGGGAGGGGATTCTTTACTGGTTACCAGGACGTGGGGGTTGGGGGAGGGGAAGGAGGGGAAGGTGGAGCACAGGGTAGAGAATAGACACAGGATAGTTTGGGTGCTAGGGAAGGGGGCAATACACAGGAAGGGGGAGGGGAATGGAAGAACAAACCTGGAAATAATTAGGCAAGTTTGCATGGGCTAAGTGGGACAGAGGTAAATAATGATGTATGCACAACCTTGGAACAACAGGGCTGTGGGATACAGGGATGGATACTTGGTTGGAATGGGCAAAAGGGGGGAAATAATGTTAAGATGCTTGGCTGTCTTTTGAATCTTGGTTTCCCTGGCATACCATTATAAAATAGACACTTGATGGGGAGAGAAAGGAATAGCCAAAAATATTACCATAGAAAGCTTGTAAGTCTGTCTTCTGCCTATAACTGATTGGAATACCTAAAATGGGGCTACAACTTTCCCAGTGAAGGAAGCTTCCTGTGGAGCCTCTGCATTACGTAAGACCATAGGTGTAATCCTGAACCACATCCAGAATCTTCTGAGGTGGGAAATTTCCACTTGAAAGGACAAGCAGACCAGCCTGGAGCAGCTAGAAGAACAGAAGATACTTCTTGAAAGAAACACCAACAGGAAAAACACAAAACAATATAGGCAGTCCGACTGATTATTATAAGAACAAGCAAGTTGCTTGCCCAGGAGACATCAAGGCAACCAGTCTGGTTCCCTCAGGGCAAACCCCCTTCTAAGACTAAGACTCAGTGGGAATACACACTCTGATTGGTGATCACATTCGTCACCGATAAGGGGAAGTGAGGGAAAAACAGCAATGAAGCTTCAAGCTAAGCCCTACAATGTTCAATAGACTTCTGTGAACCCAGCTAGAGACCTGGTTGGCCAGCAGTGTGGCAAGACCTGGAGACTCTTGAGCCCAGAGTCAGTGACATAGCCACAGAAGACTAGAGTGGAGAGTGAAGCGTTCAACTGATAAGAAGAGAGGGCACATGCATAAGTACACCCACACTTGCAGATAATACCCACTTGACC